AAAAACAGAGGGAGTGGGGCATTGATAACAAATTTATTGTTCTAAAAAAATATTAGTTAAAATATTAATTTCCTAAAAAATTTACTTATTTTCAATTATACCATCAATAAATATCCTACATAAGTGTCTTAATAGTGGAAATTAAAATTCTAATACATCATTTTAAAAAAGTAATAGTAGTAAATGAAGTGGGGGTATAGTTAAAAAAATATTTATAAAAGCTATTTAGTGTCTTATATTTTGAATCAAGTAAAATTTCTATAAAATCCTTAATATTGCAATTTGGAAGGAGTAATTTATAAAGTAGCCAAAAATATTTACACCAGTATTATATAATATGATACTTTTTTAAAAAAAATATTATAAAGACTAAAAATAATAATTATTAAATGTTATATATATATTTGTGCAATATGTTTGTCAATATACTACATTTATTTGCTATATATGTTTATTTTTTAATCATTCAACACTTTATTTTTTTTAATTTAATTATTATATTACGAGTTTATTACATTTGACCATAACTACCTTTGTAAGCATTTTGCTTTGATTGCTTTGCAAAAGAAACAGAAGGAGATTTTTAATGGTTTCTGTTTTGAAAACACAAAGTTGGTAATTGGTCGAGTGATGATGACTGAGGACATTAGATTGAGGCAATAAGTTGGACCAAGTTCGATAGCTAACCAGAAAAATTTTAGAACCAAACTCGGAATTTAAAAAATTATCTTTATTTCAGGCTTATTTGGGCTACCAAAACAAACCCAAAGAAATTTGAGCCAAACTCAAATTTGAGTAGATTTAGCCTAAAGACCCAAATTCCTTTTTTATTATCAATAAAATAATATAAAAATTAAAAATATTAATTTTTTAAACAAAACTAAATTAGATTAAAAAAAGTAAAATATAATATAATATAATATTTAACAATTCAGATATTCAGGCAAACTAGAAAGCCCAAGGGATTAGGGCCAAGCTTGGTTATATAAGTTTTTCCTATATAAAAGTTGTCATTTGAATAAATGAAAATTTTTTTGTATATAATAAAAGTTCAAATGCATATAGTGGAGAATCACTACATATAACTGAAGACCCTTCTTCTAGCATTCCAGAATGCTTCTAAATTAATAATTTTCACAATATCAAAAGTTATTAGTCAAATAAATGAAAGTTTTTTTTACATATAATTGAAGTTCAAATGTAGATAGTAAAAGAATTGCTTCAAATGATTGCACTACTTCTAATATTCCATAATGCTTCAAAGGAAAGAATTTTCAAATTATCAAAAGTTATTATTTTAATAAATGAAAGTTTTCTTACATATAATTGAAATTTAAATGCATAAAATAGAAAAATCGCTAAGTATGATTGAAAATCCTGCTTCTAGTAATCCAAATTGACATATTGGCATTGAAGAACCCTATATTAAGTTATATATAATTGAAGTTCAAATGCATATAACAAAAGAATCGCTAAGTATGATTAAAGATCCCTGCCTTTAATATTCAAAATTGACATATTGACATTGAAGGACCTTATATTAAGTGTTGCATGAAATTATAAACAGAAAAAAACCTTATGACATATTGACAGTGAAGAATTTTGCTCAACTTTTGCTTTTTTTTTTATTGGTAAGGGTATTTTTGTCATTTAGCCCTCCACAATTTTTGTCAATGAAAGACCTCAATACTAAATCTCTACAGACTCCTTTTCAGCAATTATGTGGTGGCTGGTGAAGTCTTTTATGCTAATTTTTCCCTTTTCTTTTTATAGTAAGACAAATGCTTTAAACGCTGGTTAATTTAAAATATGCGTAGTATCAATATTGAATTAACTGATAAGAATAGAATTAACTAATAAATGAGTTAGTCAAATTTTTTTGCAAGGATAACATATGTGAGAAGTGTCTTGATTGTGAGGATTATTTTAAATTTACATAGAAAAATGTATTTTAATAATTTTTAGATATTGATAAAATTTAATTATTAAAATTGAAATGCTGAGTGAGAAGGGGGAAAAAAATCAAAACTTCCTCATGACCTCAATGGCAACTAACCGCTAGGATCTGAAGTGAGCCGACCTTCTGGAATTGGTGGGTAGAAATACAAATATTTAATGAGTGCCATTATTGCAATTCCTTACTCATTGGACCCACGTAGAAATACAAATATTTAAGGGAAAATTTCAATAAGGGGCACTTGATCAAACATAATGAAAAAAAAAATCCTTGTATTTTTGAAATTTCATTTAAGAATTCATACGGATTTTCATTTGAATTTGTGATGAAAATGACAAAATTATCTTTATTTAAATGAACAACATAAATGATTTATTGTTTTCATACTGTATGTTGTTCATTTACTTATAAAATATTGTTTGTTTTTTATTTTACTTGTTTATAGTCCTACTTTTACTTGATTCTATTCCAAACCATAAAAAAGTGAAGTAGGTAAACAAGCAACATTTCATAAGTAAATAAACAACATACAATACATAAACGAACAAGTCGTCTTATCATAAAACTAATATTTGGAATGAAATCAAGTGAAACTAGAACTACAAACAAGTAAAGTAAAGAAACGAATAACATTCCATAAATAAATGAACAATATAACATACAGTATGAGAACAAACAAGTTGTTTATGTTATTCATTTAAATGAAGGCAATTTTATTGATTCTGTTACAAATTTAAATGAAAATCTGCACGGGTCCTTCAATCAAATTTTAAAAATTCAATGGTCTAATTTTTTTATTATGTTTGGTCAACAGTCCTGTACTGAAATTTTTCCAATACGTAAAGGATAGCTTGCTAACAAATTTATAATGCTGAAAATAAATAATATTTATATCATAAATAATACAAGATACATGTTTTACACATCAATATTACCATTATTCATTTTTCTTGTATAAATTTGATCTAAAATTAAGCCATTCTATTCTCCATATATACCAGCAACCTCTTGGATTACAAAACCAGGCCACACAAACTTCGTCTACTTCCTCACGCTAGGCACCCTATACCAACTCCTGAGCCTAATCATGGAGACTCAGATCCCGTACTCCATCTTCTTCACCTTCCTTTGCTTCCTTTTCGTGATCCACAAACTTTCAACTTCAAAGAAATCCCTCAAAACCCTACCCCCAGGACCAAGGAAGCTACCTCTCATAGGAAACCTTCATCAGATTGGGTCACAGCCCCATCGATCTTTCAGAAACCTCGCAAACAAGTATGGACCCTTAATGCACCTTCAACTTGGACAAACATCCCTCTTCATCGTCTCTTCACCAGAAGTAGCCAAAGAGGTTATGAAAACCCAAGACGTGATCTTCGCTAATAGACCCACATGTTTTGCCAGCGAAACCTTGGCTTATAACAGCACAGACATAGCCTTCTCTCCGCATGGAAACTACTGGAGGCAACTCCGAAAGATTTGTACTTTGGAACTTTTGTCTCTAAAGAGGGTCCAGACATTCAGAAGAATAAGGGAAGAAGAGGTTTTTGCCTTTGTGAAGCACATTTCTGAACAGTCAGGTTCTGCTGTGAATCTCACCAGAAAAATCTACCCACTCACAAATTCGATAGTTGCTCGAGCAGCCTTTGGTCGAAAGACTGGAAATATAGAAGAAATTGTACCAGTTATAATGTCTGCGGTACAGATTACAGGTGGCTTGTCAATCGCTGATGTCTGTCCTTCCTTGGAATTCCTTCGTGTGATCAGTGGGGCGAAAGATGAAGCTGAAAAGGCGCGAAAAGGCATTGATGTGATGCTTAACACCATCATCAAGGACCATTTGGAAAAGGATGGAGATGTGGGAGAAGTAGAGGAGGATCTCGTTGATGTTCTTCTCAGAGTTCAAAAAGAGAATGATCTTGAGATCCCCTTGACTATGGACAACATCAAAGCTGTCATTTTGGTAAGCGTTAGTTTCAAGTAACGACATATGATTTCTCTTTTGTTTTTAGTACCACAAATTAATAATGGCACCAAAATATAATCGCAGGACATGTTCGTTGGCGGAACTGAAACAGCAGCAACAACAATAGGGTGGGCAATGGCCGAAATGATAAAAAACCCACAAGTCATGAGGAAGGCACAAGAAGAAGTGAGAAAGGTCTATGGAAACAAAGGATATGTGGATGAATCAGAACTTCATCAATTAAAATATGTAAGCGCAATTATTCGAGAAACTTTGAGGTTACACCCACCTGTTGTGCTGTTACTTCCAAGACAAAACAGTGAGATTTGTCATATCAGTGGCTATGAGATACCTCCCAAATCCACTGTGATCATCAATGCTTGGGCCATTGGAAGGCATCCCCAGTATTGGAATGAAGCTGAAAAGTTTCAACCTGAGAGGTTTATTGACAGCTCATCATCAGTTGATTTCAAAGGCACCAACTTTGAGTTCATTCCGTTTGGTGCAGGAAGGAGGATATGCCCTGGAATGTCATTTGCTACACCAGTTTTAGAACTGATAGCAGGAAATCTGCTTTATCATTTTGATTGGAAACTTCCTAAAGAGGAAAAGCGTGAAGATCTGGACATGACTGAGATCTTTGGTGCTGCAGTGAGAAGAAAGAATGACCTGTGTTTAGTTCCGATTGCTTACCGCCCTTAGCTAATTTATTGCCTTACTGGAATAATATCAATCAGCAATCAATAAGAGGCGATATGGCCTATTTAATTTGAAGCTATTTTCTGTGGAAATAACAATGGACGATTATATATTTGAGAGCATCCAGTAGAGGGTGGTGCTCAATGTGTTGTATCATGTTTCTGTTGAATAATGTTATTCAAGTATACATCTGTTTTTTTAAAGTTCTTTGATTTACATCTCTCTCTGATTATTTTTCTTATTTAATATTAAAACAATGAGGAGATCAGACACACTTAATGTTAATATTAAGTATATATCATTCACACTCTCTGTTAGAACTTTGGAATCTCAATATCTAATGCCACATTTGGTATGATGGAATTGAGGTTAGAGAAGTGGAAGTGGAATTTAAAAATTGGGCTGTTTGGTATGACAGATCTCACTCTCACTTGGAACTCACTTCCATCAAATTTGATGGAATTGGGTTCCTTGGGTATACCCAAGGATCTGAGATAAGTTCTCTGAAACCAACAATTTCAAGCAACAATACCCCAAGTTATAAATTTTATTGACAACATTGCCCCTCCTCAAAATCAAAAGCAAACCCTATTATGATCAAATCACTCGAGACTCTCTCCCTCAAACACTGGTCGATGCAGAGCAACCCATTACGCAGGGCAGCACGGCAGCAGCGACACGGCAAAGACGGCAGCAGAGACGCGGTATAGACAACAGCGTTGGAGTGACTGAGCATGACGGCAGCTGCACTGCACAATCAAACATTGCGGCAAGGGTATGAAAACTTCCCTTTGCTTTCTCAGTTTCGGTATGAAACATTATTGCTCAGTCCATGTGCTTTATCTTCTTTCTCCATGTGTTTTCTTGTTTCTTCTTTCTCTTCTTTCTCGGTTTCTCAGTTTTGGCAGGAGATGTTTATATTATAAATGAAATTTAGCAAAGACTAGCGTTCCCCACTTGAATTTTTTCTGGGCAACAACACTTCAAATTAATTTGAATTCTGTCATTTATTGTTAACCCATTTCTCTGATATGATTTTTTATTTTTCACCCACACAGTGCATGTTCATTCGTAACAATAACATGGTGTCATAAAGATAGTATGATGTTGAGAAGCTCTCTGGCTTTATTATGACAATGTTTGTTCTTTGTTGGGTTGTTTTCTTAAATTTGTTAATATTTTTGTCATGTCCTTTGGTGTGTAGCGGTTTTGATTCAGAAATAGTTCATACACACTTCTTTTTTGGGTGAAAAATGTGAACTTCAGGCACACTTTTTCAAGACACGAACTTTATTTTCTCTCACCATTGGTGTTAGTGTGTGTTTGGTTTAAACCCAAACCTCACTTTGAGTGGTCTAAACTTCAGTTTGGATCCCAAAAGTCGGTTCAGTACCTTTTAATTTTGTTTGGATAAAGATTACAAAAGAATGACTTTTAGGTCAAAACTGAGGTTAGGTGAGAAGCTGATATTCAGTGTATAAATTGTGTAAAAATGAGCCAAATCCAAAAGTAAAATCCCAATAGGGATATTATCCTTTACCATGGATATGCTTCAAGCAAATAGCGAGCTCAATACAAGAATCTCATTGCCTGAGTTTGTCTACATACTTCCAGGGAACAAGGCAAACAAGGCAAACAATACTTCCAGGGAACAAGGCAAACAATACATGAAAAAGGTACTTGAGCTATCTAATCTCATCAACATCTACTTTTCATTTTTCTTTAAGCCCAAATTTCTTCAATCTAAACTAGAATACATGAAAAATATATAATGTGATTTTAACTGATAAAGAAGCTGCGAAAAAAGGAATACACAATAGGTATAGATTTCACAGCAGTAAGAGGTCATCACATGCACATCCAGATCCAGCGCAAGTCTACATGCATCAACAGAAAAAGGTGGCCTTTCTAATAGCTGTATAATCTGACCAATCTCATCTACCTCTCATTTTCCTCAAACAAGAAATCCAAGTTTCTTTAATCTAAACCGTAATACTTTACAGGTGAAAACAAACTAAAAACGAACCTCACCAGTACCCTTCTTTGATCAAGTTGTATTACTCACAGTTCACCTGAGGTATTCATACCCATTAGGCAAAAGCCTAAACCTCTAGTTGACGTTAAAAAGTCATATATTCCTGCTTAATATAACAGTCTAAACATTACACAGAATACAAAATCCAGTTTGAAAAGGATAAGATATGAATCTTCATAGGTAATAGAATATGACAGTTCATGCCATAGCTAGATGAAACAATTGTGGTGGTGCGATTAGACTAATGATTGCCCTCGAAGACAGTAACAATATAAAGGGCAAAGAAAGAAACAGAGAAAGATCCCCAAAAACAAAGTAAGGGTCGGCATGTACCTCACTGGGTTATGGTTGAGTGATAGACGGCGGAGGAGCGATGACTGTCGGGGAGAGATGGTGGAGCACCGAAGAGCGGTGACTGTTGGAGAGCCCGGAGGCGCCGTGTGGGAGAGCACGAAGCACTACGTTCAGGGCAGATGAGATGAGGGTCATCACTCGTTTTTTTTTTTTTTTTTTTGTTTATTATTTCTTTAATGAACGGCAAAAGTGTCTTTTAATCTTAATTTTAATTATTATAACCTTTTTTTTCAAAAAAAAAACTCATTTAGATTCCATGTGATTGTCTGACACACCAGACACATTTGTTAAGCTCAATTCTAATCCAATCCTACTTTACTTTCACTTTCACATCCTTAAAAATGAGTTCTTTTATAACAAACAAGACATAAAAAAATTAAGTTGTGGAGTCTTGAATGTCTGGCTCTGGCGGGACAGCGCAGAGGACCTTATCAATATTAAAATAATCATAGCACTCTCCCATTATAGGCCTATGAATTAGTGTTTGGTTTTGGTACTATCAATACTCATCATCTGATTGAACAATCTGAACCGTCTAAATTTTAATTTAGATGTTTAAATTTATCAATTTTATTTTTATATTTTAATATATATTTATTAAATTATAAAATATAAAATTTTAACAAATTTATTATATTATCAATCTAGACAATATAAATTTAATTAATTAATTTGAGTAGTTCAATTTAATACTAATTTTTTTAAAAAAATTTTATAAATTGATTATCTGTATTAACTCTGAATCTAGTCTGTATAGAGTATATCTGGATATTCTATTTATAAAAATTAAAAAAATTAATATTAAATTAACTACTCGAATTAAATCTATATTGTTTAGATTGATGATGAAATAGATTTATTAAAATTTAATAATTTTTTTATAATGAATATACAATTAAATTAAAATAAATTTTATAAAATCTGAAAAATCTGGACAATTCAGATGCTTATCAAGTGATGAGCATGATGGTGCGAAACTAAAGTCCTATGAACTAAGGTCAATTATTTAACCCAAAATATATATCCGTGACGAATCAGTTGTAGGTTTATGATCGTCAGTGCTCAACATTTGATGCCATGATATCCAAAATATTCTGAACGTAATACCCCTTCTTGTCTATTTATAATTGGTCTCCGTTGAGCTTGAATAATACAGTTGACAAAGGAACGCATTCACTTTCAACATATAATGCTGTCAGTACCAATATCAGATGCAAGCATTAAGCTTTTTTTAGTGCCGATGCTTCAGTCAAATAGGCTTGCCTTTTTTCATTTTATTTATAGCATGAATTATACAGTAAAAATGCCAGCTTCTTCGCAAATAGTTAATCAGTAGCTTTTAAAGAGGGTGAAACGGTACTATTTCACGAACGTTATAGTATGTGTGTTTGTGTTTATTTTAAGAAAATTCAACTTTGCAGCAAAAAAATAAACAACTGCTTACCCTTATAGTTTAGATTTACAGTATATTACCTCCATTTATTTAAAAATATAAGATATTTTAACTAATTTTCAACTCCAATAAAGTAATAATTTATTTTCAAAACTAACGTTATTTTTTCATATTTACTCATATTTAATACAGTGTTTTACTTTAAAGTAAATATAAAGTGATTGATTTATGATATATATTTTTAAAAAAAATATAATGATTACACCTTGAAATACTAAAAATATCTTATATTTTTTAAACAACCAACTCCTCAAAAAATATTTTATATTTTTTAACAGAGAATATATATATATATATATATATATATGTGTATTTTTGTTATGTTATGCCAATGCGTTTTTTTAACAAATCAGTCTTAAATTTTAATGATGTGAACTGTGTTCTTCATTTTAAAAGTGACTAATTATCACTTAATAAGAATATTCTCTGAAGAAATCTCATCTAAATAGAACAAAAAATAAATGAAATAAGATTAGGAATTTTTTTTTCTTTTTTTCACAGAAAGAATTAATCTTCGATAGTTAATATATAAAAAATAAAATGATTAAATTCTCCCTCTTACTGTTTAATTATTTATTATTGACGTAATATCATATCAATGTATTGTATCAATTATAAAAATTATTGCCGTGGTCTAGGTCATGGAAATCACCATTTCCCATAGTGACGCAGTTTCTAAGACTGTGCCTAAATAACCTCAGGCACTGCAGCAATTTTGAGATGACATACTTATATTCTATATTTTTTATATTAAGTCACAGCTCTTGAATTTTGTATTTCTATTTTCTATATTCTGCTAGTTCTCAAAGTTTCATTTTAATTTGCATAACATAAAAATTTCACCACATATAAATAAAGAGGTTTTCCAGGTGTAACATGAAAATGATGGTGAACAGGTGAACACTGAACATATTATTTACTTATTTCTTGCTATATCAGTAAAATTTTACAACACCACTAGTAACTAAATGTAAAGGGCAGAACAGTCGCTGAAAATAGAGATGCCAGTGGACCACAGAAAATAGAGACATTTATAGATTATAGAACTAGGGTTGATAAACCACAGGGACTAGCCAGAGATTCTCAGTTCTTCTCACACTTGCAGAACGTCTCAGACATGTCAAACCTTCATGAGTGATTCCATTGGTAGCTTCCAATCAAAATGATACAGCAAAATTGGCAAGTGGAAGCTCAATGTTGGGCATAGCTAAGTTAATTCCAGGACACATTCTTCTTCCAGCACCAAATGGTATATAATCAAAGTTTGTTCCTTTGAAATTAATTGGATTATCCACAAATCTCTCTGTCTGAGGGTTGAAATATCAGCATCATCCCAAACTTGGGATCTCTTAGTATTGCCCAACCATTGACAATGATTCTGGTCTTTTCAGGTATCTCATATCCATTGATAAACACATCTCTCAATATTTTCTCGTGGAAGTAGCAGCACCCCAGGTGGGTGAAGCCTTAGGTTTCTTTCACAATTGAATTTAAGTATTTCAATTTGTGAATCTCACTTTCATCCACAAGCCTTTTTTTTGTAGATCTTTCTGACTTCAGCTTGAGCCTTCACCATCACCTCCTTTGGTTTCTTCATCAATTCTGCCATTGCCCACTCTAGAGTAGTTGATGATGTCTCGGATCCAGCAATGAACATGTCCTGAAAATGTTTATCATATGAATTACGCTCCTAGCTTTTCAAAACCAATATAATAAGCATGACGTGAATCTCTAAACTCTCAGACTCAACTTATTGATGACTTCTAACGAGGTAGAACTTTTTGGAGATTATTGGGTCTTATGCACTACGTGCCTAGTCCAAAATGATATAATTGTTCATTTTCAATGAAATTAAATAAACGAAAATTCCATAATGAAGACCAGATTTCTTAATTAGACATGCATACTCATACCAGAAGGACGACTTTGACGTGGTCGTGAGTCAAGGGATGTTCCAGATCTTCTCCCTGCTGAATCTTAGAAGAACATCAAGTAGATTCTCCTCATGCTTACTTTCACTGCTGGTTGCTTTTCTTTCTTTGTGATCCCTGATGATGTTTTCGATGATTTCATCATTCAATCTGTGGATCATTTCAAGTTTTGCTTTGATCCCTGTAATCACTTGGAGAACTTTGATAGAAGGAAAGAGATCAACAATTGAGAAACCTCCCACCAGCTTCATGATATACTTCAGAGTAGATAAGAAAGCTTCTTGATCTCTTGACTTCTTACCAAAGGCTGCTCTTGCAATTATGGAATTCGTGGTTGTGAAGATTCTCTCACTCAGATTTATGATCAACCCTTCATTAGAGCATATATCTTGACAAGCGCAGACACTTCCTCTTCCCTTATGTACCTAAAAGATCGAACACGCTTTGCCGTGAAAAGTTCCAAAGTACATATTTTCCGGAGTTGCCTCCAATGGTTTCCATGTGGGGAAAATCCAACGTCTATGTTGTCATAAAGGATGATCTTGGAAGCAAGAAGATGAGGTCTATTGGAGAAGATAAGGTCATGTGTTGTGAAGATCTGTTTGGCAATTTCAGAAGAAGA